AGAGCTAGTCAACGAAAAGTAACTTAGACAATAAAAATTAGTTATTTTAAGAGTATCATGAAGAAATAAATATTAATAAAATTTAAAGACTGAGAAGAGTGACAGTTGGACGAAGTCTAACTTACTGATGTTCTATCTGGAAATTCAAATGTCCCGTAAACCAGTCATTGAATAGCGAGTTTTCAACATTGCATGTTCCATTTAGCTGTAAACGAAACCATGGTTCAGCTCGATCATAATCTACTGGCATAGCCAAATGATTTGACTGACTGACCCATGTAAACCAGTGACTTTCTATTACTCTATAAATTGAAATGTATGGGAAAGAAGAAGGTTTATATTAAAGCGATCACTGGAATAATGAATGATTAAAGTAGTCTGTATTGCCAAATAAATCACTGACAACTTTGAAAGGATTGTTAGCAAATAATTGCAAGTTAATAACTAATAAAAGACAGTTTATAGCCACTATGAAAATTATACTTACATTATTCTTGACCAGAATAATGTTTACGAAAAGACTAAATAAATCAGTTAATCCAATGCATTACCCTGAATTCAGGTTAATCGGATTTCAAATGAATAATTTATGTATCGATGATCCTTCAATTGAATATGAGCGAATATCTAGTTTATAATCCAGCAATAAACATGTAATACACTAATGAAAACTTTGTATTCTAGTTGGCAAATAAAATAAACATAACCTAACAAACTGGTCTGGTACATGTACAAAAAGTTATGACATTCTGTCATTTAAATATTAGGTGACATTATGAACATTATTAAGTGAAAATTATTAACTGAGTTTAATTTGAAGCTATGATTTATGAAAAACATAGATTAACTTGGTTTAACCTTGACATATATAGTCCGAATAAATTTTAGTCTAGGAAGTAACATAATTAGTTAGTATTATTTAATGCCATTAAAAAAATAACTTAATCCCAATTAATGAATCAATTATTCATTCTAACTACAATCAAACCATACTTTTCAGTTTTATTTGTTCTTGTGGTTATTTACCATAATGCTTTTGTAATTAATGTTAGTTAACAGTAAATAATTTACATAGTTAATATTATATTACAAAACAATAGTTGTGTTTAAAACGATCATAAATTAGAAACAATATGAAACATGCGTTTACATTAAAGTAGATAAATGTAGCATTAGCTTAAAATTATTATAAGACTCATCTTTTAGATTGTTTATATGAAACTAGACACGTTTAGTATTTGTGAAATAAATGTTTTTGTTATCGAGCATGCATACATTATTGACTTTTTATTGTTTGTTCTGAAGACATCTTTAAATGTATTCCTTCTTGGAACTTTTCTATAACAGATTTCATTTAATAACTTGTGAAAGTAATATTAAGGAACCTATCAACTTTAGCAGATGAATAATTATCAGAAACTCTAAATCATTTCCTGAATTTTGAGGGATGGTACATTGCAAACACTATCTAAAGTCAGCACAACTAATTGAATCGAATATAAGATACTATAGCAACTATCTTGTCAAAGTGATATTTAAATTATCAGATTGGGCATATAATGAAATACAAGTGGAAAAAACTATAGAATGTTTTGGTCCGTTTAATGGAATATTACGGAGCATCACTGACGTAGGCATATCTCACTCATTACCCTGACTAAATTTCATTATAAACTTTAGAAGTCAGAGGACTAGTATTGTGTTTAAGTGACAAATTTCGGCACATTTTTCAGGACTTCAAATTAGCAAACCAAAAGAGAGAAGACTGAAAACATAACTCACAAAGTAAAGATAATGTAATTAGTACAAAACTAAAAACGGGACAGAGTACAAAATGGAACCGAGAAGTTCACGAATGGAATGGTGCTATATCCGATACTTGAAGAACTATATGGAATGAGCTTCGTTGTAACTGTTTTTAAGCTATATAAGCAATAATATTGAGTCATTAATTACGATGATCAAGTACATTTATCAGTTAAATTGTCAGCTATATTCTCTGACTTCATGAACTGATACAGTGTTTTGGTCTGGTCACTTTAAGCCTTCTTGTAACCTAATTCTGTGCCAGTTAATTTATGAAGCAGGGGTATGGTGTGAATGGTAATCACTTTTTCATTTACGCCTGTTACTGTCAATGGAGCATAGGCCGCCGATCAGCATTCTTCAACCCACTTTGTCCTGGGCCGTTCTTTCTAGCCCTATTCAACTTTTGTTCATTCTTCTCACGTCTGTCTCCATTTCTCGACGTAATACGTTCTTTAGTCTTCCTCTTTTCCTTTGGCCTTCAGGACTGCATGTGAGGGCTTGCCTTGTGACGCAATTGGGTGCTTTCCTCAATGTGTGTCCTATCAACTTCCAACGCTTCTTTCTGATTTCTTCCTCCACTGGAATCTGGTTTGCTGTCTCCCACAGTAACTTGTTGCTGATAGTGTCTGGCCATCGAATCCGAAGTATCATGCGTAGACAGCTGTTAATAAACACTTGTATCTTCTGGATAATGGCTTTCGTAGTTCTCCACGTCTCCGCCCTATACAGTAGAACTGTCTTGACATTTGTATTGAAAATTCTGATCTTGGTGTTGGTTGATAATTGTTTTTAGTTCCTGATGTTCTTCAGTTTTAAATATGCTGCTCTTGCTTTGATGATCTGCACCTTCATATTTGCATCAGATCCATAGTGTTCATCGATGATGCTGCCAGATGTGTAAAGGCTTTCACATCCTTAAAAGCTTCTCCGTCAAATGTAATTTGATTGGTGTATGCTGTATTGTATCGGAGAGTATTGCTTTTCCCTTTGTTTATATTGAGACCTACTGCTGCTGAGGCTGCTGCTACACTAGTCGTTTTCTCCTGCATTTGTTGTTGCGTTTGTGATAGAAGAGCCAGATCACCTGAGAATTCTCAATCGTCCAGCTGCATCCTAGCTGTCCGTGAATGGTAATGCATTATACATAAGCAAGGAACTACTGTGAAGTTACGATCACATGTTTAAAATTTATATGCGAACTCCATGTATAGAGAAAATTATTTTTGTTTAGCGTTTTAATTCATGCCGAAATCACAATAGTTTATTTTATGTGACATAGCCTGTCTCTGTCCAGTTTTGTCCATAAGTAAGTAGTTCATACTAAATAATCGTAAAAAACAGTCCGTTATAATTCATGCGAGAGTTATTACAGTAGGTTATTAATTCGTTTATTTGTACTTTAAAGTGATATCATTATTAAATGTATTTGGTTATAGTCGTACTATTTTATTCTGAATTCGTGTAAAGTTTTTATTCGAAATCAGTTTCTCAGCACCAACTGAAGAAGTAATATTATTAACTGTATTATTAAGTGAAATTAATGCTTACTGCAAGTTAAATGATATGTACATTAGATTTTAAGTATTTCAGTTCTACAGGATATCAGTCGTGATCAGAGTAACTCATTGGTAAAATCTCAGATTGTAAAGCTAAGTGACTTGATATCGAATCTTACAGGTAGCTCCAATTCATTAAAGATTACAGTTACACCTACCAGACGAGTACTAACTAGCACGAAACGTAGGTCTAAAGATTGTTATAGACTGCCTCCTACCACCTAAAATTAGATTCTGACTATCTTGTATTCTATCCATTTATTTAGTTTGAGTCGGATGTTTTTCTGTTTTAAACTCATGACTGGCTTTTAAAAGGCAGTATTACTCAACCACTATACAGTTCTATGTAGACCTGAGTTAGGTTATAGTTATATCGATTATGTATTGATTTCTCTAGAATGTTCGGGATTATTCTTTGGAAACATGAAACTTTCAGGGTGGACATAAAATATGATTGCGTTAATCAAAATGTTTTATGGTTTGAGATTGTCATAAATTTTATCGAGGTTAATGTAATGATTTTTTCATTTCTTGAAAAACCAGTAATAAAAGATTTTGCATCCTTATTAAAATGCATAATTATCTTTCTCAATGGTATTTTAAATTGGATGATTTCTATGTTATTTTTAATACACATCTATTTGCCAAAAACTTCTTGATACTGAAACCTTTGATTGGTAATCTTTCAGTTTCATATTAAAACGAAAAGTGATTTATATGACAACAGTCACATGTGTAGCAATATTAATAATGATCACATACCTTATAACAAAGAAATAGACCAACGTTCCCCAGAATCCAAGCAATGAATAATAAAGGCAGAGTAATTTTGCCCAAAATCCCATGACGTATAGAAAATCCTTAAACGAATTAAATAAGAAATCCAAAAATGATCTTGAAAATGTAATCATCAAGCGCTTTAAGTTACAGTGAATTACAGAAAAAGGCAATTACGTCATTTGAGCAGAAACCTACCAAGTAATAATAATTTTAAAGGATGCTAATTTTTTGAATTTGTCTGACCAACAATTTAATATTTTGTGCCCTACTATAGTTTTCCAATGTATAAACTTTGAATGACATCTTCAATGTTTGAGTTACTTAGTCATATATTTAGTCATGGATTGAAAGTTTCTACTTTGGCACACAACAAAAGTTGAATCATCAAACTTTGTATGGGTAGGATTTTATTGCCATTATCATCGGTAGACAAGGAAATATATTTCCACTGTTTGATCTCCTGGGTTGATTTCGTGTAACTTTAAACATGGGAAATCTAATAAGATACATACGTATATTCAGGCAAACGTCAATTAACCCGAAATTCACATTTTTTATTTCAAAGGAAAATGAAATTTCTTGGATTTTCGCAATAACGTGTGAGAGACAGACCCTAGAAATATGTCTGTGGGTTTGATACTGACAATTTCTGGTTTATTCTAATAAGAAACGGTAAGTAAGCTTTTAAAGTTATTTCTTTTGAGTATTTCGTGTGTGGGCTTGGTGCATTTATCGTAAGCTAACTAAATAAGTCAATCAGGTTAAATATGGTGTTTCGTAAACTACTTTTAGTTAATTCATGTACTAATCGATGTTCAATGTTCTTCTGTCGCTGATCTCAAGCTTTCATAATAGTTGCCAACAGAACTTAAAAGGTCATGTTAAGAAGATTACTAAGCAAAGAAACGAGTGAAAATAGAAGTGATTCCCATTAATAATTAAAAACTAGAAACTTCTAGCAAAAGTCATATAATTTGTTTTCAGACAGTGTAAAAAATATAAGATTTTTGGATATTCTGCTAATATATAACCGATTTATCATTTATGGACATGGTTTAGTACACAGGATTTTGTTTATTGTAGAAGTTTTCGCGTTTATGCTTAATTACAAAGCATAAAATAATTAACAATAAACGGAATAAAGCAGTTTTCATAAAGTCAATAGATTAAACTTTATTTGTCTGACTCAATATTTTCTTTGTTTCTTGAACGTAAAGAGTAGTTAATCTGAGTTTTGTCTGATCTTAAGTGCACATTACAATAGTGAAACCTATTTAAGTAGTTTTGGTAGGTTACTTATGCAATCAGAACATATTTTGTCTTTATTATAACAGGTGCATTACATCATTTGACCAAGCCTACTGAGGCCTGAGACTGTAGAGTTTAGAATGCCTAGGTTATCACTTGGTCTAACATTGAATACAAGAATCGACTGACAATTGGTAATGGGGTGAAGGACAATTACATGTATGTCGTACATTGTACGTTTGCTTACCTCTATTCTTTTGTGAATCCACATATGGCGGAAGGACATGATTTGGAAATAAACAGGAAATAATAGAGGGGGACCAACTGAAAGAAAAGAATAATCTGTTAGTCATCTTTTATATGCTATAATTTGACAGGACTCTTTAATGCAAAGTTCGTACTAAAAGACCTATTTCCTAGTGATTCGGTACAGTGATGTTGCATATCTAAAGTATATGTGAAGGAACAAAAGTAATATGTAGTTAATTTGTAAAGTGATAGATTCTTCATCAAATCTAAATGAACCTATGTTGATAGTGTTTCACACTTAGCACAGTGTGGTGTTATTTCTAGAAGTTCTTGCACGAAAAATCAAATACTTAGTTAACAAGTTTTTATTATATTTGGTTAATGAATCTATAGACTAGAGTTTCTCAAAGTGATTTCATTGGTTATAGTCTACTTTTCCAGAAATGAGTATTCATCCACTTACGATTTCTCATTTTATTTTTCGTCAGGTAAAATACATTTTTTAGTACTAATTGTTCAAGAGACTATGAAAATCAAGAGCCTATATATATATATATATATATATATATATATATATATATATATATATATGACATTTAGTTAATTGAACATTAATGTAGATTATATGAAGACATGAAGAAGACTGTTGTTTTTATAGACGATTGATTCTCCATACATCTTTTTTTCAGTAAGTGTAATTGGTATATAAGCACAAACAGTTAACAACCATTGGTACTTATTTCACTTAGATTAGTATTTGAAGTAGTTTTGCATAAGTTTTTTATTATGTATGCAATACAAATTAGACATGAATAGAATTTTGAGAGAAAGCTTTCCAAATATAAAAGGTAATTTAATTAATTTAATAGATCTGAAGTAATTAGTCCTTTTGATAAATTTAGATAGTGTAGTAAGAAGACGAAGATTATTAGACCTATGTGGTGTATTAGCTCAATACATTTTGAACAATCTGATCACGCATATACTCGTTAGGAACATTTATATATAAAAATGGATATTGTTAGTGGGATATAGATTGGATTAAGCATGTTTTATGCATGATGGTGTTGCTGCGCGCTGATTGGTTAATTTTAAACCGATCAGCCCGGGCATATTATTGCAGAAAAATCTATAAGCTTCTTATGCATATACTATAAATATATGAACGATATTTAAACTGAAGAGAATTTATCGAAAAGAATATTCTTCGTTCAAATATTAGTCTTTTGATATTTAAACTATTGATTGCTGATTGCTGTTAAAATACCATTATTATTTTGAATACAATTTCTTTCCTGTTCAACGTGTTCTGATTTTGGGATCTTGTCGAGTGTCATCGTATAAGAATACTAAGCAATAGGAATCGTTGGGTCGTTTATATAGCAAAAACACAATTATAACAGATATGTTAAGCTTATTCCTGATCGCTGCTTTCTCATCTAAAATCTTGTAAGATCGAATTCATGAATATGAATGTTAATCTATGAAGTTTGGTATATGTACCAAAATAAAGTCTGCACTCTAAAGTAGTGTAATAGTTTGAAGCGTTACGACTACAACTTTATTAGATATTAGTATTAATTAACACTATTAAGAGAAAAAGACAGCTATATAATGGTAAAGGATAAAAAGATCTATTTGAAAAACTTATTCTGGTGGTCGAGAAATATCTGATTTTAATGTTTATAAATTAAGGAATGATAATGTAATTTTTAAACTTTAGTCTGACTAAATTAACAATATTTTAATAATACACTAAATTTTATTACTAAGTAGAAACGGTTTTATAATCGAATAAAAGATTAAAGAATTGTAGGTGTCTAGTTAGAAATATGTTATATATTGGACAAATTGAACATGCTATTGAAATGTATATAGTCAGTTGGTGTTTACAAAAAATGCTGACCTAGATTCAACTATCTTATACTTCAGAGTAAATGTTTAATTATTGATTGTCGTATAAACAAATAGTTTAGTGTGGTCAAACTGTTTGATTTGTTATTCGAAGGTGAATATATTAATAAAATAATGATTTGTACCAGTACTAAATTTTCGTTTTATAATATTAAAATTGAATGCCAAAAGTACAAAGTAAAATATTTTAATGAAAACGGAATGCTGTAACCACTGTTAGATATATTATGAAGATCAACCGCGCGACGTGATAATGATAATTTACCATAATGAACATAAAAAACTAAAATGAGTGCCCTGAGGTTTCTTGATGTTACTTTTTAATTACAAAGTGATAATACATTTATGGGAAATGAGGTGTGGGATATTCATCTTGGAAAGCTATCTTGTATGACTAATAACACCACGATAATCCTTGTTTATAGCGGAATAGAATTATCTTGGATACATTTGTTTCGAATCAACCCTTCAATTTAATTCAGTTTTGCACTGCGTTGCCTTAATAGTTATGAGTTTTTTTAATGAACACCAACCAGTCATTTAGGGCTGTAGGAGTTTTCTGAAATTTTATCTTGTCCAAATTTAGTTCAAGTCTCTCTCTTTACTGGTGTCAACCTTTACACTTCAGTCAATGCCCAGAAAAGATCAGTAGAAGTACAGAACTACCTTAAAAACACACTAGTCAAACATGTATGTCTGATCTTCAGGACTAAGGCAATCAAATTAGTCTTCTGAATATTTCAGGAATTGTTAAACACAGAGAATCCTCTTTGATTACTTGACTGATAATTGTGATAGTGCTAACTAATAATGTTAATGAGAAAGCAACACTTTATGCCAAAAGTGTAAAAAGATGAAAGTTATTTCGATTGTGTTTAGTGAGATTCGAAACCGATGAAGAAATGAAGAAGTGGATTTGTTGATTGTCATATACTCACGCGCTGTTAGGGTAGCGAACTTCTCTGCAGAAATATTTATATAATATATGCTTTCACATAAACAGTGCTCTTTGTGTACCCATGAAGACCACTCATATAAGAGATGTTACAGATTTTTGCATGATATTCTTTAAGAAATAAATGAAAAAATAAACTATGGTTTTAGAAGCGTCGATTTGTATGGATTTTTGTTTAATCAAAATAATGTGCAGCAGTTATTAAAATAAATGTAATTGGATTTTGGAAAAGAATTATATGCATAATGTCTGTATATCTGAGTCTACATGTCAAACTTTTTAAAACAGCGATGCGCTATTCATACTCATAGTTATGCTTATGGAAATATTATCATATAGTGTCTGGTCTGGGTGGCAAGAGTTAGAGAATAACCTCCAGGGCTTTCTCGATAAATCATCTCGTAAATTTTGAACGTTCACTTTCATCTGAGATCAGAAATAACTTGGTACTTAATTAAATTTAGGAATTCCTTATTAACACTATTTTGGAGCTATCTTGAATGGCTTACACTATGTGAGACAAATCGACACAAACCATTTGATGGCTTATTTTGATATTAGTGAAACTGCAAATTTATACTCCTTTAACATTAGTATGAACTTCATTCATTTGCAGGTTAACATTCCCTAGCTGACAAAAATTATTGAGTTAATTCCTACTCCAATGATAATGGATGAGATCCATAAAACAAGATTGGTCACGATGGTTGGTTGTGTACACTATGGAACTGTAAACTGTTAATAACAGAGATATGAACATTATATTGGTAGCCAGTGTAGGCAGATAGATTTATGCCCCACCTATCATTCTGTGATAAGAGAGGGTCATATTGTATATTTTGAAGTGTAAATGTTTTATTAATATAACTGTGTCTAGGTCAGAAAGTGGATTGGTTTTTTCAGGTATATCTTTCTCGAGTGCTACTTAAGAACTGCATGAATATGATTGCGTGTTTCACAACGACAACTTTATCCTTGTTGTAGACTTGGACGACCAACAAAGGAAATCGGTCAAACGAAGTTACATCGAGCTCTCAGATTCTAGCCAGTATCGTGATCAAACTAACTAATAATGACAAACAGCAGCTCTAAAACACTGATAAAGTCAACTTATCATGTCTTGCTCTCACCATCTTCAAAAGTCAGTGACTTGTGTATACATTTTATTCAAGTTATTTGGGAGGAGGAGGTAGTTGGAGAGTAGCTGTATGTCAGATAAATCGCGACCTAAACTATTTGATCTGTCGATTCAATCTGGTGGGTTGAGACTGGGTCAGCTTTTCATTTTCCTCTGAACGTCTCAGCAATAATTAAATTCTTAATACTTATTTTTTTAATTATTCTAAACAGTGGTCTAGTGTTACCCATTGCCGCTGGTTTTTCCACACTTATAACTCTCAAAAGTGTACTTATTATAAAGCATATACAAATGCAAATGGTTATCGTTCATGTAAAGAATAACTTAGATTTAGTCTAATTGAGTGATCTACTTCATACAGAATAAGTCAATTTATAGTGTCATTTTTTTAAATTGGAGACACAAACACTGATGCATTTTAATTTGTCTGAGAAAAAATCAATAGAACTAGGCTAGACAGTTATATTTAACTTTTTTTAAACGAAATTAATGTGGACTGCTTGACTTCAGTGCAAGTACGTTTAAAAATAAATTAACTGACCCTGGAATTTAATACAAAACCGTAAGATCTATGTGAAGATTGGAAAGATTTAGTGTTATGCTTGTGGTCGGGTGGATGACTAGTTGATGTATGACGCGATAAGACAGCCAATTAGGGAGCAGCGAATTATCGGTTGGAACAGTGACACGAAACTCGTACGAGCAGTCTAGAGTACGTATCGGCCCTGCGATCTGCTTAGCCCAGCCAGTTAAGTCCAAAACACCAATAACAGCCTCTGTGGTATGAATCATTATTTACAAACATACTGCGTTTTTATACAAACCAAAGTAATCAATAACTGAGTATAACTCAAGAATCGTATGATAATAAATCAAAGATCAAAATAAAGCTCATGATAAGAGAAACACGAATATGAATAGTTTAGATACGTAACAATTGTACAATAGGAAATAAGCATAATACATTGGTCGATAAATAGACCTAAAAGTTAACATTCGTAATTCACCGGGGGATATTACACCTCCCCTGTTTGAGAAATCCGAGCTCCTCCTCCCCCACGAAATAGTGTTGGATCCTCATATACCCAAGTTTCTATTAATGCGATTCTATTTATAACATGTTTCTGGCATTCAATAGGGAACCTGCTAAGATTGACTGGATGGTGAGGATAGACATTTGATGTGAGGTCAGAATTTGATTCTGCAGAAATGTAGTCATTAGACTTATTGCAAACATCACTGGCAGGTTGTGGATCACTATGATAAACAGCGTCCACCAAAACCGCGCTAGGTTCCAGATTATCATTTGATGCACGTAACACATTTTCTGGAAAAGCTTGGGAATCTTTATCATTAGATTCGGTAAAAACTTCCATTGCAGAATGCGATTCGCTCCGTGTACTGTTCGATATGATCTCTGGTACTTTGTGGGCGGTTGGTGTGACAATTTCATGGGCATTTGACATGGCATCATGTTGATGAGAGCTGGAAGCGTCACTGTTCGGACCTGCTAATTCAGGGATAGTGGGGTTTGAATCCACTACCGGGCACGTTTCTGAATTGGATAATGATGGACAACCGGGCGTCTCTTGAGAGACTGCTGTTTCGTTTGAGTTGCGACTGGTCGAGGATTCATGGAGGCTGCGATCATTTTCCAGCTCTGCGTGAAATTCAGTGATTAATCCATCCACTTCCGACGCATATGCAAAGCATTGGGGATTCAGAAACTGTGTGCGTAGTTTGACCATGAACTCCAAATGTCGGTCAAATAGCAACTGTAATCGATCGGAAGGGAGCGTCATTTTTCACTTTTTTTTGTCCCCGTCGCCGATTGTTATGCTGGATGTGGTCCCGAAAATGGTCACTGCGCCAACGGCGACAGACAGTTAGAATGCAGGTGGATCCAAAGAATGTCCGTTACTAAAAAGGGTAGGTGTTGGGGATGTCAAATCCCCAGAACTTACTTGGTAAATGGCTTAGTTTTGTAATTTTATTTTGAAAATTTGAATTTGGCTGTTTTCGCGCCAAACGCGCTCTTTTTACCTTCACGTTATATTTCCCACTTGTAAACAATCTTAAACGCTATTGGTCCATTGTTTCTTTGTGTGTGCTATTTACTAATGATGCTCAAGGACAATTTGTTGTTGTATAAATGCGCTTGACTTTTTCCCTTATTCGATTGCTTGTACTCGGCTGCCTTCGGAATACATATATATTCCCTACTTACCTTGGACTTCTTCATCTAGTTAGCGGGGCCTGGGACAACAGATTAGAATAGCTTATCGTGTCATTGTGTCATTGGCTTTCGTTATTACCGCGGAATCGATTTAGTTCAAGCATAACATTTAGAAACATATTCTTCCATGAACATTTTGAATACGTATGGTCAAATTATTTAAATTTCGTAGAAGAAAAATAAATTTTTTAATTCTGTTCAACGTGCAATAATATATATGGTCACGATGAATAGGAGCTAAACAATTTATTCCAAAGTATACAGACATTTATTACTCAGGTCCAGGGTGTTTCTATGATGTTAGCTACTGATACCACACCTGAATATATGAATAATCCATATATTGATTTTTAAAGTTACTAAGGTGTAATCGACATAAAACTCTTACTATTTTAATTTAAATTTTGGTATGGATAGTGCAGAATAGCTGTTAAGCTTGCCTAAATAGTGGTACTCATTAATCTGATTTTCAGCTAAATAGATAGCTAAGCAGGAACTAATAACTTAATTCTACTGTCGTATTGTCAGTGAACATAAAATGTTACACTTAAAAGCTCTGAACTCAGTCCATATTCCGATTATTGTCCGCTTAACTATTCTTATTATTCAGTTATCAGTAATTTACAGTCTAGGATTAACAAGTGTTTATCTGGTCGTTGTATCTTAGTCCATCTACTCAAACGGTATAAACTGGTTAAGGAGTAGGTCACATATTGGGTAAAACGCGAACGGATTTTTTAAGTGTAAATAATTTTCTGGAGCCGAAGCAATAATGTACTGAAGGTTATTTTAGAAATAAATACGAAAAGGAATTAATATTTCAAATAAACTAAATGTCACGTCAGTATAAACAGGAGATAACATAGTAAACACTTCTAATTCAAGATTTATTTGTGCCAGTTCAGTTGTTCAAATTAGGATTTTTCAGATCATATATTCTGTAGATGGAAACTCCCTTAAAAATAATTAGTCTCGTATTTACCATGAAATATTTGTCACAAATTTAGATTAAACTAAATTTCTAGCGTAATCTCTTTAATGAGGCACTAAATATCTCTCTAGAATTTAAATAATGGGTCAAATCAATTAGCGATTATTTGTAGAATAGGAAGGAAGGTAGAATGAATTTATCGATATCAGTTGAATATTTATAAAATAATTAATGACTTACTTAGGAAAAAATATTTATGCTGGTGTTCATAAGGAAAATGCCACGTCCATTTACTTTCAGGACTAGCTGCTCTTCTAAGCAGGTTATCACCAACAACAAAAATTGGTTCTAGTCGGGTATCTGGATCTTTATCAATCTGTATTTATATTGTTGACAGAACAAAATTTGTAAGAAATAGTAAAACTGTAAATTTGCCTGATGGAAGCATTCTAGTTATTGCAACTTTTAGAACAAAAGTAGCTATTAAGTATATTTAAATACTCAGAACAAAATAGAGTGTACAATAATTTATTGGAAAAATCATCTGTTTTATGTTTTGCGATTTAATTCAATGTATTATTATATTTCATTTTGGTGATAAATAATCAAACATGAACTACCTGAGATTAAACAAATCGATTAAATCATCAATCTTTTATTCATCTGTTGTGAGCTAGCAACATGGTTTACACTCGATAGATAATAAATTTTCACTACGTACAGGGGAACTGTAAAAGTTAGCTAAAGTTGTAGTCATTTCTGTAACAAAATATAACTTACTACGTTCGGTTTAGCATGATGTTGAGAATGCATGTGATTCCACCAATGGCATGAAGCTCCTTTAGTTAAACCAAGGATAATTTCGTGGAAAATATGATTCGTTCGAGTACTCCGAAAAACCGATAGATGTCCTAAGTCGTGTTGCAGCCAACTTGCTTGACCCTGAAGAAAAAGCAGCATTAATATATTTTCCTTTTTTAAGGAGTTTTTCAAAGATTTTATGCGTAAAAGCATGCTTTGAAGACAGTTTTTAAAATGCTTTACGCAGTGTAATATTATTACATGTGTATTATCTGTCTGTTAAGAAAGGTCGAACGAAATTTAGACTAATTTACGAAAAGAATATGTTAAGTAAATACTTTTGAGTGGAAAAGTGTATCAAAACCATAAAATCCTAAAGGAAGCTTACTGACTAAACTGTGCGTATGTAAATTGATAAATGTGATTATGATTAAGATTGCAAATCATTATTCTGTAATTATATATTCAGTTAGGAGGATCAGTCAAATAGTTACGGGAATGAAAAGGTGCTTGAAATCAGTGAAACTTATTGGACCTAATCTGGACAGAAAATGGTAGATTCAGGAGAGATGCTTCTGTACGCTGGTCACGAAGAAGTAAATGTACTACACACTCAGGGAGTCGCTCTAACGCTGATGGAAGACGTGAGAACCAGGAGAGGAGTTGGCATAGCTTCGCATCACCATCTGGTGGTTGCCAAGATCAAACTGAAGCTAAAGAAGCAGTGGACAACCGGACAAACAACATTAAAGAGGTTCAATATAGTCTTCATTTGAGATACTGGCGAACGAATTCGAGATTGCTCTGAGAAACAGGTTCCAAGCTTTACTAGATCCTATTCACAAAAGAAGAAACTACTATGGAGGACAACTGGAAAGGGATCAAGGAAGCACTAACTTTAAAGTGTCAGGTGTTACGGGCAGGAAGCATCATAATTAGAAATAGATCTCTATTGAAACCCCAGACAGGATTCAATTAAGGAGTAACATGAAGATAGCGATTAATAACAGCCGAACAAGAACTGAGAAGATCAAGGTACAAGCTGAATACACAGAAGCACTGGAACTGACAAGCAAAAATACGTAAAAGACCTTGCAACAACAGCGGAAGAAGCTGTAAGAGAAAAAATATGAAACAACTCTATGAAACGGCGAAACTGTTAAAGAAATATAGGAAATATAGGAACTCAGGAAAAGATGTTGTAGGTGGATAGGACACACATTGAGGAAATCATCAAACTGCATCACGAGGCAAGCGCTTACTTGAAATCCTGAAGGGAAACAGAAAAGGGAAAGGTCAAAGAACACACTAGGTTGAGAGTTGGAAACAGACATCAAAAGAATGAAACAACAACTGGAAAGGATTGCCTAGGATAGAGTTGGATGGAGAATGCTTATGGGCGGCATATGCTCCCCGATGAGGGTTAACAGGCGTTAGTAAGTATCTATTCATCGTTATTGGTATCAAAACCTATGGTTCCTATATTCAGAGCTGCCACAGTCTCCAGATAGTTATTTAATATTTTAAAAAATGGCCACATTTTTTGACTATTGAGGCCTTTTGTGAAGTTTCATTCGAAACATTCGTTTAACTGTATTTTGAAGAAAGAAACTTTGATCCATAACTAACATAATTCTTATTAGTAAATGTCAGTAATTTTCTGCCTTCGATATTCATGACTATAATTTATCGTTCCATGTTTCCATAAAGTGTATACTAAGTACATTATTTTTATATGACCTTCAGTCACAAATTTTAGATTGTTCGTTAAGTGATTTGTATCGGAATCCAGGATACGCGTTACATTTTAATCATTAGAATGTATAGACAAAAAATGACACAATTCAAATTTCGATTTCCGTAAATATCAGATGTTTGTCTTTATCTAACTATATAGTAGAAGGTGAATTGCATTTAATAGTCTTGCTTCACCTGGAACTAATTAAATAACGCAAACGATGGAAACAATTTCGTATTTTAGAATGTTTAAAAATATTGATTTATACAATAAATAGGTGTTTATAAAGAAGCAAGTATTATTTAGCTTGGTTAGATTGCACTTAGTGCCTAGATAAGTAGTTAGAATGATTTGTATCATAAGTTATCTTAAAACATAACTCAAACAATATACTTATTACAGGCCTTAATATACTGTTACTATATAATAATGATTGTCTAGTGTATATTACATCACTAGTCAGTAAGAACAATTATTCGATTAGGACGAATTTATAAAGTGAAACTACGAAAATCTAAACCACTTTTACTGGTAACATAACAAAACTATATCACAAAGCTGGGTTATTCATTTTTAAGCATGGTAAATTGTTTTTTCTACTGTTTTACAAGCACGTTTGTAATGGTTATTGATGGTCACTCTATCAAAAATAATGCTCTTCAAGCATGACCATAAATACTAAAACAGAACTTCTGTAAATGACTGAAATCAGTTCAGTATTTTTAAGTGTTCTGTATTGAGGCCTTTATTTTATTGATGCAATGTATGCGACTTGAATTTGGAATTATTTCGTAGGTTACAAAATCAAAATTCATTATAGTATATAGGTATATCTTGATTTTTTATAAAACCCTCCAGGATGTTAACTCGGAATAAATGTTTTAAGAACCACTTATATTTTAAATGTGTATTGAAATCAATGCGGTTCATTTCAAATTGTAACACTTGCGAATTTTCTAGATGATTGTATTCACAGTAAATACATGAAGCAGCCTGCTTAAAATTACAACTATTTAGAATCTTATTTTTTAAACTTCATTCATGTTTCTTCACGTTTTAAAAGGGCGGATATTAAAGTCAACATAATCCAGGAGTATGCTGTAATTTTCAATAAAATACCCCAAACATATTACGTGAATAATTTATTCACATTAAAGCTAATGCAGATGGCATTTTGTGATATACCAATATGAATAGTAATTTAAGAGGTAAACAAATTTCTAGGTGCACATTATGGTCTATGATATTTTGATATTAAATTACAAGAATCAGCGTGGATGGGAATGTTTCATTTTGAAAGTCCTTTCTAAATTGTAGGTTGAAAAATTATAAATAGGTTCCAAAAGTGTTTTACAAATCATGAATGATTTATAGTTGATGGATACTATTCTTCAACTGGAATAAACTTAATTTCTTGTGTACTCGGCCTTCATTGAAACATTTACCTCTTTTACTATATACAATCTTTCGATGAAGTTATACTTGTTATCTATGCCTGTTGACCCTTCTCGTGATTTACTTCTCTGTGACCAGTCACCACCAAATTTGTCATCGGAATCTGAAGACATACATTGTTCTACTTTATACTATGGGAGTTTTTAATATTTTATCAATATAATGCTCTGATCTTATAACTTATTCCACTACTGAATTTCGATTTCCTAGTTTATGTAATTTGCACATTCACGGAGGAATCAACAAAGAGCGGATGTGCACAGTAAATGGTGATATTTACAAAATGAGATTTGCATGATCTAAAGATTTCAGACTACAACAGAATTCAACGATTCACTTCTTATTACGATGATTGATTACACAATGAGAAAAATGTCTAATTATGAGTTGGGATTTTCCATATAACGAAAAACCATGAAGGTCTTTGACTACACGAGACTGAGTTTTGATTATATATTCAAGAAAAAAGACAGTAATATGTGAGTTTATGAACATTGGACATAAGAAAACAAAGGTTCAGAGAATAGATCCAGTAGAATTAGTAAACAGTTTAGGTTTTGTCTAGCTTTTAGCTATAAATTTAGATGTAGTAATTATTGGCAATCAGAAGTACTTGACTTATGTTCATTTATGTTTATTTGGTTTAAAGTTAAGGGAATTCAATCTCGTTTGAATAAGTTTTATTGTGGTTTGCTAAATTTACTATTACTATTGTGAGTATGCTAAGAAATCTAAAAGCTTATGAGGAAAATTTGTTTGGTGTAGATAGACGAGATAAGAACGAAATTTGGAGAGTAAGAAAGGGTATTAAGAGCCGGGATAAGCTGGCATTATACACCGTTACCTCATCAAGGCACAAAAGATACGTTACACATTTGGGTTGAGGTGGCTGACGAAAAGGTAGACTTGTAGCTACATGACAGGGACTCAACGACTTATTCTTGGTTTCAAAGGCTTTTATAATGTTTCTGGTTTGAAAACATCACCACAATACAAAAATGGTCTTTCTACATGTATATTTATAACCACTTTAAAGTAATAAAGTTAACAGTTCAACTTGAGGAATAATTTGGCGTTGTTTTGTGTTTTAATCACCATTTTCATGCAAAACTGATTATTTTATTGGCAAATACCTTTTGTTGGGAAATATACTAAAAATATAACTACAGTGAATGGGTAAGGATCATTTTAAACGCTGATATTTGATAAGCGGTTGTATGTTGATGGTTTTTTGATTCCAGTTAAAAAAAACTGTATACGAATGTGAAGTTTATTGAGACTTACGTATATCAAAAATGCGAGTAGCATTCGCTTGTGTTTATTAAAAGATTCGAATACCAGGGAACAATTTTAAATGAGAAACGATCATTACAAGACCCAAATGTGACGAGATTGTAACGGATACGGGTGAGGCCTAATTGACTTATTTGGGACGTAGTTCCCGATCTTCGGCAAATCCTTTGTATGGTGGGCCCTAGTAGAAACACTTTTGTCTCCGTAGTTATTATTATTTGGATTGTTTGTGGTACATGAATTGTAAATTTGTCTAAAGAACTGTCAAATATTCATATATTAAGTGATATCAAGTCAACTTTTATGCAAACTCTAATACGAAAGAAACAACTTTAATGTTGAAATTAAAAAATATGACGAAACGTCAAAAAACATTCAAAAGAAGTCTAGCAAGGAATGCCTTTTAAATAGAGTAGGAAATAGAAATAACTTATTTTTACACTGTAAACTGACATCTTTCAGTTTCTTATATTATGGTTTGTTACTCAATAATCGAATCTGTATCATACGCCTCACCGATTAAGCTTGATGCTTTGAAAATAAATGTTTATTCATTTGAAGCTGGTAGTGAAATTTTGTGGTTCCGACTGCTCGTGGAACGTTTCTTAAAATAGCACTCAGAATAGTACTGCATTGTTCAAAGTAACTAAATGGTTCATTGTATTTTGTTAATACCTGACTCACGTTAGGATAAGGAGGTGAGGTGACTGTATCAATTTAGACACTTAATATATATATATATATATATATATATATAAACTAAGAAGTTGAATAGAGTTATTTTTCAACAAACATAAACTTTCTCACTTGAGATATTGAATACAGTATAATTGATAACATAATTCGCCACCAGCTGGTTTCAAAATAGGCCAAGTTCAAATATGCCAATAATTCGAGAACGAAAACTTGAAGAATCATTGTACCAAAGAAGATTTTGCTTCCATCAAATAGCCTCTGATATTGAAAATTTCGTGTATAAAAGAAATGACACTAACTTAAATTCAGCAAAGTATCAATGTATAAATACAGTATATAGTAGTAGTGAAAAAAGCTGGTCAAGCCGATGACGCTTATACAAATTGCATTTGCTAATTTCGTTTACAGTAAAAAAGTTACTTCAGTTCAAGGCATAAGCGTACAACTTGTAGGTTGCTGAAAATGGGTTTGTCTACAAATTCTCATCATTTAACGCTAAAGCTTTAGGCCTTGGACAATATAACACTTTGAAAACTGCTATTTATATACGAAGTGTTGTTAAGAGCTTAGGCTGATGACAAGATTTAAATTCTTATTTGTTCTCTCAAGAGAAGACATTAATTTGCGAAACGTTAGTGAAGTATTGATAAATATGAGCAGCAAAATCAAGTGACAGATGGAATGATAAATTATAGTCTTTTAAGAGCTGTTTGTTGATAACGTATTGGTAAATGACATCATTTAGCAAGAGTATTAAAAATTATTATTTGAAAAACAGGCTGATCTCAAAGTTTTCCATAGCGTCCTTATTGTGTTTATTTTTTGAACACCGGGGACTAATGAAAAAGGATACGACTAGAGCTACTAGAGGAAAAATCATTGTTTTATTAATAATCAGTTTTCATTATTTCCACAAAATGAGAATAATTGCAGATATTTATCAAATATATCTTACTCAGGCGCATAAAAAACAGTTTCAACATTCAAATCCCCGCGAAGTTTTTCGTTACAAAGAATCCTAAAAACGACTTTATTCCACTAAATTCTCCTGGGATTTAAATAAAGCTATAACTGAAAAGCGTAGCTGTGGTGTTCATATGAACTATGATTCCTTTGTACTTGATGACTGCTTGATTTTGAACTCCAAACACAATACGTTCGTTCGCGTTCATCTAATAATTCTTGAATAAATTGCGTTGGTTCTTGGATTACTGGTTTATACGATAATTCAAATACTCTACAATATTATAGTAGCATCTGTCAAAACTGAAGTATAGAATTAGACCAGGCAGGTGTGGAATGTTTATGATGATGCAAACCGTTTTGCATTCAGAAACGTAACTCAGAAACTATAATACTTTATTATAAGCGAGCTGGATATACGGGAAAATCTATTAGGATAAGTGATGGAAACTTTTCTATCTACCATAAGAAAATGAAAATATGACGAGTATAATAAAGAATAGTCGAGTAACTGTAATCATACTTACCGGTTATGAAATAAAAGGTTCAAAGTAACTTTCTGCATGATTTTTGCCCAATAAGCTTTCGAAGTACACCGTGTATTTCAGATGGTGTTTTAATTACCTATCATAGTGCATTGTTTATATAAGCGACTCATTAAGTGACAATAAAAACATGATATACGAGATATAGATAAATATAAAATAAGGTCACTAACCATACCCGAATCTTACCTGCTGGAGTAGGATTTTACGTATACCCTCTAGATCTTCGTGGTACTCCCTAATTTTGGAATTCATATCCTTGTCTTCCGGACAGTCTTGGTCCAGATCTCCGATATAATATGCACTCAAGAATTTTTCAGCATACTGACGATTTTTGTGAAACGCAATGAACGCACCCTGGAAATTGTAGTGGTATTATTATATTTTAAAAAATACTGTTGCATCTTGGCCGGCATAGTGACCAATAACTTTTCTACCTCCAGGATGTTTATTCTGCCAACTTGATACATCATAAACCTTGTTGTCAATAACAATCCAGCGGTCTTTCAGTGACTGATGCTTTTTCACTTCTCCCCAATTAAAAAGACCTTTGGCCATCTGAAGTTCTCGAAAACCCGAAAATAGTATTGATACTACGCGGAACGTACAGTACACAATATTTTTATACAGATAAACACTTAAACTATTATTCAAATAGTTTGTCCAGTTATCCCTGAAATTTTTCATTTAAATTGCGTTTTTTATTTTTAAGTATGATGAGTAATTATGTGTTTGTTCTCAAGAATCCTGTTAAAAAGACCTTAGGGGTAAGAAGTTGAAGAGGTCGTAATACAGCAGTATTGGAGACTATCTTATGATAACTTGTCTTATCGCTCACAACACTCTCACTTCTCTGAGATCCCTTATAAAATGAAGTACTAAAACACAATCAAGGAAACGTCCTATTTAGGCAGAAAGTAAAAGAAATAGCATCCTAATTCTCACCCAAATGTTTCATGGTTGCAATCTGTAAGGTATGAGATTCGCTACCAGAAATGGTGACGTCCTTTTCTGCCGAATCTTTCGAAAATTCTTTGGCATTTTCCATCATTCCTTAGGCACTGAGAGCATTGGGTATTACTCTCCGACTACTACTCCATTAACCGACTAACGTGTAAGGCCAAGCTTAACAGTTAACTGAATATCGCAAATGTCAGGAATGTTTAACATGAACTTATTAATTGCATTTTATATACATGAACTTGTGTCAGCGTTTCGGTTTTATACATATCTTACTTTTTCTTACCAATGTATACTGTCCTCTACAGAAAATATTTATTCTGGCGGATTCACCTGATTATTTCTATAGAGCAATTCAGGTAAGGTAATACTGACTTTGAAGTGTGCCTTTGACGTGAGCTAGAAGGTCACGCAAGTCTCGGTAAAACTGGGGTCAATGGACTATCGAAATAGACACTTAACATTAGTGTAATGCAAACCTAAGGGCGATGAAGTTTCTAAATGATAAAACCTCCCTGTAGATAAGGACTCTCTCACTATACGGCTTTTTTATAGAAAGGAATTAAATTTAAATTGTGGGATAACGTCTAGGTAATGGTTATTTGAGTTTCGTGCTTCATTAAATTTTAACTGCAGTAGTTGTAATTCCTGTGCTTGTTAAGTTACTGCAGCAGGAAATGTTGACCGAAAATCCTCTTTGAAGTTAACTGACGTGAGATGATATGGAAAAGCCGTTTCATAAAATACGTAAAAGTGTAGCAACAGCTACTTTGCCCTTTTCTGAACGGCATACTCCTGATTATTCAGGATCATTTCTAGACAAAAATGATAGGTAGAACTGTAAATATTTGGTGAAAGTTGGTGAAAGAGAGGGAGAAATGACTGACATTTTTGGAACTTTATTTGAGAGACGAAGGAACACATTTGTTTTGTCGGATCCATGTTTGTATATTCAACGGATCACTAAGGAGATACAAAAATCGTTGAGAAATCTGAAGCACTTGGACGAATAGTTTATAACGATTGTATATAAGTAGATGTAATTTACCACAGAGATATATGTAGCTGTAAACAAATCCCTAAAATAAAAAGTTCTGTTACCCTTCAACATTTCATACTGAACTTATCAGTCGTAATGAACACAAATAACTGAGCACTCCTTTTAACGAATCTCCTACAACTGCCAGCAATCGTTTTTTGACCAGGTTTTGGTAGGTATTTATGGAGTTCTTCTTTTCACTGAAGTCTTTGACTTATGGATGCTACCGGTTAGAATTATTTATTATGACCTTATGTTGGAAGAAAGCAACTCAAATATTAGCCTGGGATTGGAATTTGTACTTCTATCGGTAGGATTTTAAAAAATGATTCCTTACCCCATATATCAAACACTTCCACTTTCTTAAAAGCGTGCTAAGGATGTATTTATATATATATATATATAAATGATCCTGAAGATACCACTGGTCTTGAAGTTATACAACTCTAAACCAGTAACACTTATGTTGGAAGCGTTCCTCAACCAATTGAAATCAGAAGTCAGACGAGAAGAGGTAGTAAAGATATATTTAATACGTTTATGATGCAACGGATGTTCTAGTTTTACAACTAGCTACCAGTAGCACCTTCTATATTTGATCGTTCCCAGTCAGATAGAAATCAGAAGTCAGACGAGAAGAGGCAGGAAAGATATATTTGATTCGTTACCAATATATCGAGGACCTTTTCTATGAGCTGGCTAATGAAACGTAGGAGCTGTGTCCCACGCCTTATTGAAACGTGATCTGGTGCGGATGCATGACCGAAAGCCTTCAGCTAAACAAGTCCACTTAAACAACATGGTCAGCATCCAATGTCGAACACTTAATGAACTATTGATTTTGGGGAATTATTTACAGCTACAACGTTATCAATATTTGGAGAAGAGTTTATTCTAATCTGGCTAGTGAATGTAGGAGCTGTGTCCTACGCTGAGTCGTCACATGATCTGGTGCGGATGCATGACCGAAAGCCTTCAGTTAAACAAGTCCACTTAAAACAATGTGGTCAGCATCCAATGTCGAACACTTAATGAGTTATTGATTTTGGGGATTTTTTACAGCTACAATCCATTTGTTAGTCAATTTTCACTCACAACAGGAATTTTGATATAATACCTTTAGAGACTGCAAGGTGGTTGATAGTCCGATGAAATATAAATCACTGAAGAAACTATTCATCAATCCGAATGTGCTATAACTTAGAGGGCTGATGACTGGATGCTAAATCGTTCACAAAACAGTGTAGAAGACAAAGATAATCAACGCCAACTGGCTAAATCAGAGACACGTTCGATATATTATTCGTTTGTACTCTGTAATTCTCTAATCTAATATACGACGGCAATCCGGAAGGGTTGTTCCTGAATTATACGAGAGAAGCAAGATATAATGGTACTAAATTAGGGAACTTCGGAGAATTTAGAATTCGCCATGGTTTTTATTTCGATGTGGCATTGCGTAAGTTAAGTGTGCACATTACTCTTGTCAGCTATTATAAATAAAACATTTGCAAGTATTTCCACCCTGCAATGACCTGAAAATTTGGCTTCTTATCTTTTTGAAATATTACTTTTAAAGTTGGAGGCTATTCGTGGGTTACTACTGCATGACATTAGATGTTTCTAAATCTTTCTATGGTTTTAGTGAACAAATACAGTGAATAACGTTGAGGTCACGCGTATGGTAGTGTGTGGAGATTGAGACTTTGTCGAGGAGGACTTTCAAGTGGCCAACGAAAATCCACCTTAACAAACGGTAATAGTTGGTGGAACCATATAAGGAGGCAACTAAAAAACAATAGACCAAAGCGTGCTACCAATCCATTTTAGATAAATCTCTCGACTGAGTCATGGATTTCGGGGAAACGCAGGGCAATGACAACCCGAAACATCACTGAGTTTTAAGGTGAAGGAGCATTTATAAAACATTGATCACAACTCATTATTCTTTATTACTGCATTCCCTCATCTGGAGCCCCTGATCATGCTTCACTCTAGCAACACGAGCTAGTATCAATTTAATCTAATAATTTATCATACCTCTATCTGTTCCACTACTAAATGTTAAGCATTGTTTATGGTTCATATCCAAATGCCTTGCGGTTCTTCAGTTTCCCTTTTTCTCCTCTTTTTCTTTTTTTCTCTTCAAAATGTTGCTGTGAGGGCGAAGTTGAGGAACTATTGACATCTGGATTAAACTCGACGTAGGCGCCTTCCCAAGGTCATAGTTCGCACCAGGCACTCCACAAGTCTACTTTATAACAACTATAAACTTAAAGAGATGGATTACATAAATACTTAGAACGACCGGAATCCTAATACAGTTTTTGTCCAGATTGGATCTGGTGTGTAACGTGGACGCGATGCCTCTTTGGAAAATATTTTGAAGAATACACAGTATATCTGAACAAATGAATCGCTATTAACTTTTAGAAATTATATTTACTAAAGAATCCTGATTGGGATGAATACTATAAACCAGTATATATTGTACTTATAGATCATGCCTGTGAAAATGGCGTGTACCTGCCGTCGGAGAAATATATTTGGTGCGTCTTGTAAGTTGAACGCTATATTCAGATCCCAAGCTAGTTCCGTACCCCAGAGCTAGAACTATACACCGACTTGAAGACCAGAGAGAAGACTCGAGAATGAGAGAAACACTTTACTACAAGGTTCATTTGTGTATAGAAAATATAGGGATTTTATAGTAATTTAAGAGTCCTTGAGTTTTAGTGAAAGCTCTAGAATACTGCTAAACATAGTAGCAGTGTATCAATCAGCCAATCAGGATCTCCACATTTGACATTTCCATTTTCGTTATTTTAGTAACATAACTTCACATAACTTCTAATTAATCGCTGATTGGTTGAAATGCTCCTTGATGACCCCTGAGCTTGTCATGTCGCTTGCGAGAAAAATGTAGAGTCGTATCAACAATATTATTATTATTGCAATTAAAGTACACCTACTTTCTAAACATATTTAGATTATAGATTGTATAGACATTGTATACCTGATCCATAAGAAACAAATAATACTGATAAAAGCTTTCCTTGTGCACCAAATGCTTTCTGGGTGGTAGCACCAACACAATGCACCACAGCACTTCCGTACATCACTGCTTTGTCATTATATTATCATTCTGCATCCAACAGTGTATACTCTTCTTTGAAGTGTCTTCCCTGAAAATTGGGTAGTTGTTGCATCTGCGTTGCACATAAATTATACTTGAAAAAAAGGCGAACCTCTGCAATTTCGAGGATGCGAAACAAAAGCCAAGACAGGTACAAGTGTAGATTTATGGTAGTTATGTCCATAACTAACCATTCAAATCGCTGCTTAAGCTCCCACCACGTCAATCTGATATGTCTGTAATCTATCCCTGTTGCATGTGACCTACCAATTGAAAGACATTATTATCCTATTATATTAGTGTGACTCATAAATTTTATTCATTTTATTAAGACACGCAATACTGGTCGGTATGTTTGTGCGTTTCACTTAATGACTGTAATTCTTTTATTATTGTACTAATCTGATTGTTTTTATGTTTAGAAACAGATAAAGTTTAAAGCCAAGTTGTCCTTGTTCTGACTATAGCTTTCACATAGACTCTGAGATCACCAGTATCGAGTTTACAGTTTTAATAGTGTATCTGTAGGACAAAATAAATCCTACATAGTTTCGACCAGTATCTCATCAAAAATTCACACATCGAGTACTGTTAAATGTCGATGGAGG